CTACTACTACTACTACTACTTGGCCGGCCGGCCGGCCGGCCGCTATGGCCAGCCGGCCGGCCGGCCGCTATTTGGCCAGCCGGCCGGCCGGCTGGTCGCGAAATAGCAGGCCGGGTTGCCCGCGCTGTCTACTTCTTGCCAGTGTCGCAACATGTCGCCACATCGGCCATGTGAGATTGAAACATAGGCTTGTCAAGAATGGAGATTGGAAAACACGTTGGCGCAAAGAATGTGGAAAACGTGTTGACACGTGAGTGTATCTACACCCTAGGATTCAAACCACCATTGACTTAATGAGAGCCTTTACATGGCTTTCCCAAACAATCATTGTTTAACTGAGGGTTTTGCTCGTCTTTGAAGGCTAGGGTACAGACTCTACATGTATGTTTATCCTTTCTACCAAGGGGCTTTGCTGGTGCATGGAGCAACTGCTTCTGTGGATTTGTATCAAAACGAGGTGTGCCCGACTCCAATCTGCCAAAAGAGATAGACATCCCATTAGGATCTGAAAAGGCGCGCATGGTCTGCTTTAGAGACTGAGGTCCGACGCTTTCCGTTTTTGGGACCGGTTCTTCTTTTTTCGATCTTGGAGCGCTCAAAGCTCGAGTAATTCAGCAAATCTAGGGATGTCTTGAATGGATCCTTGAGCAAGCGGGCACGACGGCGGGTCGACCGGTCGACGTCGGTTGAACATGGAACGACCCATCCCCACCGTTTGTTTCGTTTCAGTGACCTTCTTATAGCACCCGTAACTAGGCGTTCCTATGGGAATTGGTCTATAGATGTCTAATAGGGTTCTTCAACCGGCATAGGTTGGGTCCACAGACCGGCTGTTTCATCGGATGCGGGGGCTCCGGCTCCAGGTCCAACTGTCCGGGTGGTAGGGGATGATGGACTCGATGGACCCCGGAAAGGGCACGGCAGCTTTTGGAGGGTCAAGGTGAGGGGGGGATCTTGTTCCGAACATTCGCTGGGGTTCACCTCAAGGGTTTCTGAACTCCAGTGGTAGAACCATTCCCATCCATTCTCTATATATTATATAAGAACCAACGGCAAACATAAAATTGTTTTGGGTCATTTGGGGTCCTGAAAGATCCTGAAAGCATCGAAAATCAGTGGAGAGTTCTCCACGAAGCTCTGGGTTTTCAAGAGATCTGGCTGGCACGAGACCTGTGCCTGCCCCAAATTCTTCTCGGTCTCACATCACAAGTTTTGCATCGCAACTCTGGCGGAATCGGAAGCGACCGCGTTCAGCTGCCAAAGACTGAGTTGGGCACTGGAGTTGGTCCCTACCCAGGAGCACTGGATAACCTGCATTGGGGACACCCCACTAAACAGGAACAGATTGAACAACGTTTGACTTGACAATTTTTTCCCAGGGAAACTGAGGGTGTCAGTGTCACGTTCACGGCCATGCTGCAACCGCTGATGTGTTTGACGAAGCCGAGAAATTTGGATGTCAATTCTGTGGACGGAGGGGATCCTGTGATGCTTCGTGCCTTCAACATACTCTTCCAGTAGCCGGGGTCGAAGAATTTATCAACTCAGAACATATCGAGTTCTTGAAGTGGTAGTTGATCAAAGGGTCAACATAAGGACGACTCATAGGTTCATTCCGAGCTTGCTTCTATATGCTTCTATGTTGTTCGTGACAGTTTGTGACATGTTTTTTTTCCGCCCAAGTACACTTTGCAAAAGATCTGCCAAAAGGTAGGTATGGCACCATGCAAGGAGAATCCCACGTAGGTTAAACATGGAGTTTGCGAAAGATTCGCACACGCACAGTTGGTTCCTTTTCTTTTTGCCAAGGAATAGCGAATAGTGTTTTCACAAGAAGGATATTATTTAGATCAACTTGTCTTTTTCCGAAAGCAGATCCTGGACCATCGATCAATCTGGACTCGGTGCTCGGAAGGGTCGCACGGAGTTTGGAAAGCTGAGTGACTGGCCAGCTATTATTTTTTGCCTGCAAGCAGCCCGGTTGCAGACTAAGATAAGACATGTGGAAACTACATGGGCATCAGAGAGCTTTGCGTGGTAGTGCCAAAGTATATCTTTCTGAAGCGTGGATTAGAGATATTTGGCGATGCTTCATGGATTCGTAGCCCTTCATGTTGAGGCAATTGAGCCCAACACACACGCTGACATTCCAACATCCTCAAAGTCTTTCTTGGCTATTGCTGTATGGCTTTTGAATTCCTGGAGGTATATATATATATATATGATTGGAAGACCCATTTGAAGACCCTTCGTTTACTTTAGCCGCAGCCAACAAGGCTGCGCAAAAACACCACACCCACGCTCCCATGGCGTACCACGACGCGCTGGGCTTGGGGGACTTCCGCCCCTGGACCCCCCCGGAGCTGCCGGGCTCGCCGCGCCGGGAGACGTGGAGCTCGCCGGAGCGACGCTCAGCGCTGGCCCGGTTGCTGAGAGACTGCTGCCGGGTGCTGGGTCGCGAGATGGAGGCGTCACGCTTCTATGGGCGGCTGCAGGAGAGGAAGCTGGAAGTTGGAAGGGTTCTGCCTCCTCTTTCACACGGGAGGCAGGTGGAAACATGGGCAGGTGGTTCGAAAAGCCTTTGCGCTGCACCGTGGGGAAGATGGAGAGAAAGAGAGGAAGATGGAGGAAACGGCGCTTGGCGAAGTGAACTCAGCACCTCGTGCTTGTCTGATCAGTGTGTCCTGTCATTGAATCAGATTCTCTTTTTCAGGCTCCAAATTTTGGGGTGTCCTTGGTTGACGAAGTTGCAGACACATGCGGACCCCGTTGCTTCGTGAGAACTTTCGACACCGCTTTTCACAGCTTCGATGGATCTTTGCTTGACACATCCGGTCACATCCCCTTCAGAACTGTGTGAGAATTAGCAGGCCCTTTCCCCCCACCTGCTAGGGGATGCTAGGGATGCTAGGCCCTCCCGTTTGACTCCCAGAGTCTCCCTGTTCGTCCCAGGAGGAGTGGCTGGAGACGCCTGAACAGCTGCGTCAGCTGTCCACCGACGGCTGGGCCCGGCTGGCCTTGCCGGCGCCTTGGTCGCAAAGATGAAGGAAGTGAAGGGAAAGAGGGCAGGCAAGGAATGGACAGGTCATGACAGGTCTGATCTTCTCATGGAGCTTGATGTGTCCGTTGTTTTTCAAGAGTACACTAGTCAGACTTCACAAGTATTGGTGCTTAATGGAGGTTAGGGGTGCCCATTAATCCCTGCCTCCCTCCCCCAAATAAAAGAAACTCGGGTGTTCTTAATAGGGGGTCCTTAAAGTGGGGGTACTCTCAAAGATGGAAACCGAGCTTCAAAACCCAAAAGTTGCCTAGGATGGGTAGGATGGGGTTTTATGCAACATCCTTGAACTTGAACTCGCATCAAACATTGAAAACATCGAAAATCCATTGAAAACGGGGTCTTTCTTTTCCCTTTGCAAAAACCCTTAGCCTTAGCGATTCTTCATTAAAGGTTTTCTGTCCCTGTGCCCTGCGGTGCCATGCGCGCCTGGGGGAGGGAAAACATGCTGATGCAAATACACGTATCACATGGTGGACAGACAGGGTGGACAGAGGGGGACACTTAAGGTTCTTTTTGGGCGCTTTTAAATTTAGAATCCACCAAAATCGATCATGCCAGGTAGCCTCGTAGCGGCTTTAAAGGGCGGCCGTATAAAAAACAAGGTCTCCGACATTGACTGTTTAATCGACTTGGGTAACGTTTTGCAAATCGAACTGGGTAGGGTGTTTAAACAACTTCCCATCACTTGCCGTGCATCTTGCCTTACCCTTTCTCGCCGTCTTCACATCGCTCGGCACAGGTGGGCTTGGAAGCCGAGCTCCAACGACGCCTAGGAGCGCCAACCACGCCCACGCCCGCGCCCACGCCCGTGCCTGCCGCACGCCCCGCCGCGCGCCCGGGCGCGCGCCCGGGTACTCCAGCAGCGCAGGGGCGGCCGGCGCGCAGTCCCAAGACAGCTGGTAAGGATTGGAGGCCGAGAAAGGTCCAGATGGGTGTTGTATTGGGAGATCTCCCAAAGACGACCCCTTGGAAAAAATACACCAGTGTACAGGGTGTCTCCCTATCAAAATACACATGCAGATGTTCTATTTTTGTGTTTTGTTGATTGGTGAGGAGTTTGATGAAGTTGCTGTGACGTTTCTGGCTCTTTTTAAGAGTGCCAAACATTCAAATCTTGTAGGTAGGAATGTATGTATGCATACTATCTCAGGATACTGCAGGGTGTCTTCCTGAACCTAAGGAGATCCAACTGACGGCGTTGAAATGCTGCATGGCGGTTTAGAAACCGTCCCTTCATTGCATAGTTCATTTGATTTTCTTTCTTTCGACAACCAAACATGCAAAAAAACGTGCACCGTTCGGGTGTTCTCCAGGGCGCTGCAGGGCAGTTTGCGTCAAGCTCTCCGGAAGCACTGCGGTGACTCGTGGCCCTCGCAGCTGCTCAGCACCTTCGGCCTACAGAGGAAGGATGGCGTGGATGCCAATGTGCTGCAGTCGGCCCTGAGGTGGGGCACGTTGAAAACACGGTGGGAGGCCATCGCTAGTAGGTTGGAGGCTGCTGGAATAGCACGGGGGCGGGAGCGGGCTGCAATCAAAGAGGAGCTGTAGGGAGCTGGCCGAGCCGAGATGGTAATGAGAGGCCGAGCAAACCGGCATGGCATTCCCTTTGGACAAAAGGGTTGATCAGCAAAAGGGGAGGAGATGTGTTTTCTTTAAAGCCACGCTTAGTAGCAGCAGATTTGTTCATGTCCTCCAAACTTTGGTAAAGATTACTCACGGAGGACAGGCGTGGTTTTTCTATATCCGATGACCGGGGAAGAGACGGAGAACCAGGGCTTTCTGAAGGAGATGACCAGACCAGACGGACAGGACCAGGAGTCAAGCAAGCACCCCGTGCCGCCTCTCATCTCAACCATCCATGCCCACCGTGCCATCCATGCCGTGGCCAGGTCTTTGGGCGTCCCAGTCTTCAGCTCGGCTCAGGTAGCCTCCGCCGTCCGCGCGGCCAAGGCCTCCAGCGCCGGCCTCGACGGCCGGGGGCCGCTGCCCAGCGCCGGCGCCGTGGTGGCGGCGATCCATGGGCCGCTGAACAGCGCCAGGCAGAGCAGAAGGGGCGGCCGTGGCTGGGGGAGGAGGAGGAATTCCAGGGAAGGTGGGGGTGGGGCTTCCCCCCCCCAGTCCAAACATGTTCAAACTTGGATGGAGGAATGGAATCAGAGACATCGAAGAACCTGGAGAGACAACATGAATGTGTAGCTCAAAGAGGGAGACCTCCCAGTTCGATGAGACTCGGGAAATAGACCCAGGGGCGAGATCTTGGGGGTCTTTAAGAGATCAAATGCACGCAGCCAAAAACTTGGAATCGATCATCATCAGCAAAGATCCTTGATCTTCGGCCAACTTCACACCAGTCTTCACACCTAATCATCCTAATCACTTGCCAGGTCACGTGCCGTGGACGAGGTCTTCTTCGATCTGGGGGGTGACATCCATGGAACCTTGCCCAGGCAGACCTTGAAGAGGCAGGGCATATACTTGCGAAAAGCCGATGTGTGGGGGGATCGATGCGTTGGGGCGTCAATCTGCGATTCGCAGGATCTTGCGGCCTGAATCGTTTAGCCAAATCCTTCGAAAATCTTGGTCACGGCACTGAAGAAACAGAAGGAAGTATACAGATCCTGGTGGAATGTCATGTTCCATGTTCACACTTACAGATGTTCAGTGGATCTCCCAGCGGGTTCCAGGCAGTTAGACAAACGATAGCTCGCTGATCACCAGGCTTCCAGTTCGTTCGACGAAAGCCACAGACCGAATAGCTCGTCCTGGTTCCTTACATGAGGCACGGATAGGCACATTTGCGGAAGACTACGCAAGTGCTTCTTTGTTACTAGTAATATATAGTAGCAAAGGCTTTTGCTACTACTAGCTTCTTCTTCCTAGTAGTAATGCCAGGAGCTACTAGTAGCGTCCTTGCTCCTAG